ATATATATAAAATTTAGTTAATTTATAAATATTTTAATTAATTAGGAATATATATAAATTTTGAAATAAATTGGTTAATTAATTTCTTTTTATGGACAAAATAGTTTATTCGATATTTTATATCTATTGAAATTTCTTAAATATTTGACATTAACTAAAGAGGAATTGTTAACGTACTTTGATGGAACCTTCTTGCAAACGTAATTCTTTCAGGATGACGTTCAACAAACTGCTCTTGCCCGCGCCGACTTGGCCGACGACAGCGATCAGTTCACCGGGATGCACTTTCATATTGATACTCTGTAAGGTGTCTTCTCGTTCATAATCCAGCCACTTAGCGTTTCCGTTTTCGATGGAAATGCTATACTCGACATTGTTTTGCTGGTGCATATCGTTTTCTTTCTGCGCGAAATTTTCCTTCGAATTTTCCATATTATTCTCTTTTACGTCCTGTTGATTATACTCCTTTGCATTCTTGTCATCTTTTACGTCCTCCTTATTATTTTCCTTGTTATACTTTTTTGCTTCGATCTCAGAAGCTGTCATTTCATATCATACATCAAGAACTTCTGCAATCTTTTTATGGACACTCTCGCTTCCGCTACCTGTGTTATTCCTGAATTATCAAAAAGAACAGAATTGATAAATAAAAGAAAATAAAAATGTAGAGTAGTTCATCAAAATAAGGGTATATGTGATTATTATGGTATATATATGCTATACCATCAATTATTGGGACTCGAATTTTTAAGGCTAATAAAAGTGTATGAAGTATAAAGTCGTAAAGTACAATCGAAAAAAATACAAATAAATAGAACAATAAAAGATAAAAAAGAAAATAAATGAAATTAAAGAAGGGAAAAGAAGAAAAAGGGAACGTAAAGAAGAGTAGAAAAAAAATAGAAGAAAAAAGTTTGAAAAAATAAAAAATAAAGAGGAAATTAAAAAATTAAGAGATAAAAAAATATTACGTTATCAACTTTGACGATATTAATCGTGTAATTATTGCGTTTCAGCAGCACTAATTATCCCATACCTTGCGGAAAAAGAACAGTCATAGTTGTGCGTAAGCTGTTGTAATAGGCAGTTACTACGAACACTTTCTCGGCCGTTACCTTGTAGCCGAATAGCACGTAAGCCAGCACCGTGATGAACAGCGACATCCTTGTGGTGAACATGATGAACGACATGGTGACACCTCTAATGTACGAAACCCATCGGATGACATTAACTTCCTTCCTGCAAACAAATTCTGTTATCGTCCATCATTTTTTCTTTTTCCTACCGAATTGTATTTATTATTTTCTGACTAAGAAACGCGTATATGGCCGGATTTGTATTGAATCTATAATTTAATATCGACAATTAAAAGGCCATTGAAATTTCAGAATTATAAATAAAGTAATGCAATGTTTTATAAATCACGTTGTTCAACGTAAAATTAACAATGTAAGCAACGGTGCTTACTTTCTTGCTTTTTGTATGAGCGCGCTGAACGGATTCTCCCAGGTATACATTTTGATGGCTTGGATTCCACTTATGATTTCATTCGTCAATCGCACCCTTGCGTCGGTCCTGATGGCGGTTTTTAATCTCAGTTCTGATGATTTTTTGCCTAACCATCCTAAAAAATTCCAGGAACGAGACATAAAATGCAGTTAGTAATTATTGGTGATTTAATGAACAAAAAGTGTTAACTGTGATTCACTGAAGAAAAAATTAAGAAGATCCCATGGTCGTCTATTTTACCGATTAAATGCAATAATTTTTGTGTCACAATTCCTTCTTTTTTTATACAGATTAAAAAATTTTTTTCCAGAATTAAAGTATAAGCATTATTATGTATTTGTAAGAGGGAGTCTACCGAAAACGGAAAAAATATTTGGAATTTTTGTGAACATAATAAAGCCCAAATAAAGAATAAATTAAAAAATGATTATTAATCATAAAAAGGAAATTCCCCTTACAAGATTAAAAACTTACTCTACACTTAAACATCGCAATTATCTTTAATTTGATCTGTAATTAATCTTTTAATCTTTGAAAATTTCTAACAATTTGAATTCAATTTTAGATTTAATTTTAGATTCTTAAAGCAACATTAAAGTTATTATTCTCTGGAATAAGTTTCACATATAACAAATAAATAACAACGATACTATAACAATAATAAACGGGCCTTATTTAATAAAAATTTATTGCTTCTAAAAAAATATAGTTATTTTCAAAACATCGATTAATTTGTTTTTTTTTCATAGCTAGAAAGTTCAATAATATTATAATATATTAAATAGTTAAAAAATAGTTATTTTCGTAAATTAAAAAAATTTTTTTTAAATACACTGCAGCGTCACAAAATTTTCAGTAAGCATACGGAAACAATTTGCTAAAGAATCTAAAATTTTTTTGGATACAGATCTGAAAATAATTTTATTGGATCATTAAAATAATTATGTTAGAAACTAAAAAGTGATAAGTAATGCTGCAAAAAATAATTACATTTTTTAGCTTTGATATTTTAGCAACCAATTTGGGTTTCCAACAAAATTATTTTGATGGTCTAATAAAATTATTTTCAAATCTGCAGCCAATAAAATTATTTCTATTCGCGTCAATAATATTTTTTTTAAATAATTATTCTTAAACAAATGTTTTTTAATTTTTTACTAAAGCGAAAGGATGTTCTTCGTTAGCGAAATTACTTTTAACTTAAACATTTCTAAACTTTGCTAACAAAAAACACACATATATATCACTTTTAATTCAATCGTTTGATTACTTTTATCATCAGAAACAATTAGAGCAGAGACTTTCCCACCTTGTAAAGGGATGAACATCAGCAGAAAAGCGACACCGATGACAGACGATACTCCGACGTCGATTATGTCGTACATTACGTACGTCATGATGATGGTCTCCAAAGGCCCGAGCCACAGATAATGGAGAAATATGATACTGATATCGAATCTGTTGACATCATTAGACAGCAAATTGACTGCCTGGCCGATTGTCGTCTCGCCCAGCGCGGTTTTGGTCAGCTTCAACGTCTTGCGATAGATTAGTGAACAGCAGGCCACGCGGATTTTCATGCCCATGTGCAACATACCTATCGTGTACGGATGGATAACGAACACGTTAAGAGCGGAGCATAGAATGACTCCAACGGCGTATCCGTACGCATAGGACTTGTCGACGTCAGTGGTGTTAAAGTAAAGTAACATCTGACCCAACAGTAATGGTTGCAGCACCCTGTCATATGAGAGATTTCAGAAATATTATTACTTATTTAGATAACTATTTAATATAATTATTAATTAGATCTTGAAGATTTTATAGATGAGATTGGATCAAGCTGTTGTTTCGATTGATGTAAATGCATCAGGTAAACATACTACAAAAGTTTCTACAAAAGTGGGAACTTACACATTTTAATTACGACTTTTATCAAATATATTTAAGCTGAACAAATAATGAATGCAAGTTAAATTGATTGTGAATAACTTTAGAAAACATTTAATTTTATATGTAAAATAGAAGATGGTTTAAAAATTTATATAAAGAAACCACAATGGAAATTAAAAATAAATTTTATTAACGAATTTTAATTTGCTTTTAATTTAATAATCTTATAATTACTAAATGTAATTATAATTTCATGAATTTTTATTTTCTTTTAATTCCATAAATAAATATCATTCATTTAGTTAGATCTTTACTTTGGTTAAATATTTATTCACACACAATTCAAAAAATACTGTGAAAATCATGTTGATAGATATCATGTTGATAGATAAAAGTCGTTCGGTGGTAGATTTAATTCCGCAGAATTAAATTGCCAACTTTTTATACTAGTCAAGACACTATCAATATAAGAAATATAAAATCTTGAAAACTCTAAAAAGAGATTCTTCAGGAGAATTTCTGGGTGAGAAATGAAGGAGATTCCCAGCAAACAAGCTGACGTTATTTATCGTCATTTTGACGCCATTTTAATACTAAAGACAAAAAATGCATCAAAGCTTGATTATACCTAAGCAAGATGTCCATGACGGCCATAAAGATCCCATATAGTAAGGTTTTGAAGCCGAAACATCTGATGAGGACTTTCAACAAGCTGGGCTTTTTGACCTTCTTCTGCGTCCCGCTCTTCGCGACCTGCTCCAGCCGATACTGGTATGTCTCGCATTCTTCTTCCCAGGCTTTCGCTATTTTAACACCAAGAATACCACTTGTATGTTCTTTAAGCGGTGTGTACAAATCAGTTACTTCAAGATCTCGGCGGTAACCCACCCAGAAAATGCGTAGGACCCAACTGCGAAGAAGAAAAGCAAAGCATACACGTTTTACTCGTACAAACTATTCGCAATTTGTCTAATTTCTGGGTTTTTTTCGCTGGAATACTTAATTTCTTCCTCTATTTTTCAAGATACTATATCGCTTTACATATTATTATGCAAAATTGATCTATATCCTTCTTTCTATTTCTAAATCTATAGAAATCATCCCTGGTAGAAATTTCATGCATTTTTTGAGCAGTTACTAAACAGTTACACCAACTTTTGTCTAGTAATTGAGAAGGAAAACTATAACTTAGGATCCCAATCAGGATGTAACGCTTTGCTTGCAGTTACTGCATACAAAAATTGCGTAAAATCTGAATCCAGTAGTAGAAACACAACAAATAATGAATATTAAATTGATTAATAAGCAAGCCAACTGCTTGTGAAATAGACAAAATAAAACTCTATCAAGTTCTTGTCCATTTCCTACTCAGTATTGGCACAATTAATGAGAATACAGTAATATTAGATAGTAACTGGATAGGTGTCTAGGAAAACTGCATACATTTCTACCAGGGATGTAATTACGTTTAAAATTAACACAATCAATTAGAATTTAAGGTAATATAATCGAGAAGAATTTTTTTTTTTGGAAAACTCGATGTCAAGATAAATTTCTACAAATTTAGAAAATTAAAATCGGGCAATACATAAAAAATTGTACGTTATTAAATATAACTGATTAATAAGGAATGCAAAATAACATTATACAATTATACAATAATTAATATATGAAAATGTTTCTTAATATTTATTAAATTCATATAATAAAAACGTTGAGTTGTTAGATTTTATAAAAATAATCCTAAGTGTGTGTGTGTGTGTGTGTGATTTGACTAAAAGAGATGCGATTAACGAAAATACATCTATGAATTTAAATCACAATTTTCCCTTCGAGAATAAAAAGGCGTGGAGAACTTAATGAAAATCGTTTCAATTAGCTATATATGATTTCATTATATATCTATACCAAATGAAATTGGAAAGATGAAACATATCGTTTATTTGCTACAATACAATTAAAAAAAAAATAATTTACCAAAAAAGAATTCAAAGTTTAAACTCTTTTTCTGGAAAACTGTTATTATTATTATTATTACTATTATTACTATTATTATTGTTCAAACTTCGAATGTTTTAAACAAGTAAAATTTTGTAATATTAATTTTGAAATGCCATTTCGGTGTAATTTATTATTAAGAGAAATAAAAATATTTTGTTTAATTTCAAGTAAATTTTGTCTTTCTTTTACATCCTCGTTCTTTTTTTCAGGTTTTTAATTGTATCTATTGTTCTTATAACAAATGAGCGACGTGCAAATATTAGAATAACGTCAAGTGTGAAAATAAACTTAAAAAACTACTTATTTGTAAAGCGATATACAAGATAATTCTGACATTATTTATAACTCATATCAATGATTTCCAATAAATCGTGACATTGTTCGTTTATCATTATCCAAGATCAAATTGCTTTACTAATATAGTATACATGAGATAACAGAACGCATACATTTATTCCTTATCTGTTTGTTTGTTGTCTATTATCGTTTTTTTCCGGAAAGTGCATTGTAATCAAAGCGCGAAATAACACTAATCTCTTCACACCTGAATAATCAATCATTCCGTAGGAAATTGGAATGTGGAATCTCACTCTAAAGAGTGAAATTTAACCAAACTTGTAAAAAATTTCTGAATTTTCAATCTATAAAAATGAGATATTTCACTTTATAGGTTTAGAGAGAATAAATTCCGATCGGAATTATTCAATTATTTTCTAGATTTTTATTGTATTTTCTAAGCAAGACGGAATAATTCTATAATATATGTCCAGATTAATCAAACACGTATATACACTCATACGCAAAAAAAACGGGCCACTTAAAATTTAGCACTAATTTTTAATATTTTCAAATAGCAATAACTCAGTGAAAATTCATCGTAGCG